GGCTCCCACTGCTCCCCGGGTGTGCAGACCTCTGCCAGTGGTGGGGGAAGAAGCTGGCAGATCCGGGAGGACGCTGCACGGCTGGGCCAGGGCGGCAGGGAACTTCCCACTGATCACCCTTCTAGACATTTAGAGTTTTATCCAGGTCAGTGTGTTATGATGTCCGAGCAGCAAGACTAAGCAATAAATGATTAAAAAGAATGAGATTTTACTGCACAGGGCTCATGTTTTATTGTAATGAGATTTTACTGGAATTACTTTCACATCATCTTTCTTGCTTGTCCAACAGAGGAACATTTGACATTTACGTGAAATGTGACGGTGTCGGAAGGTGTGTTGGTAACTATGACAACCGCGGAAGTTTCGGCGAACTGGCCTTAATGTACAACACGCCCAGGGCGGCCACTATCACGGCTACCTCTCCTGGTGCTCTGTGGGGTTTGGTGAGTGTTTATCTGACCTGAAGGTTATTTGTAAAAATCACGATGACAGAAGCCAGGGAGCTACCATAATTTAGTTCTCGTAGGAGGATTTATTTGGTCATCAGAGTTTATGAAGCAACAACGAGATGCTGAACTGTTGGACACTTAGACTGTGCCGAGGTCAGTCTGCGTGTTGTTTTCCCGAGTCTAGTCGGGAGCTCAGCCTGCTGGCTGCAGGAAAGACACTCAGATCCAAAATGTTCCTCTTTTACCCACTCTTGAAAACCAACCAGCCACACAAACAAACGAAGCCTTTAGGGCTGTTTTCAGACGGCTTTCTGCGGTAAGGATTGTAACCTGTGGTTCCCAGAGTGCGGGCCCCTGGCCTGGGAACTTGCTCGAAATGCAAACAGAGGCCCCGCTTGCTGATTCAGGCCAGCCGGCCCAGGAACTCTGGAGCAGGGGCCCAGCCATCTGTATTTGAGCTACCAACCCATCAAGTGATGGTGATGCCTGCTCGAGAAATCACTAGAAATGAAGCCTCATGGTGTAAATTGATAGGTAACAACTTTGCATTGACCAGCAGCTGTGGAAAGAAGAAATACTTGATGGCTGTGCTTTTATCTGAATGCACATTACAATTACTTGGGGGTGTGTTTAAAAAAAATCCTCTTACCTAGGTCCCACCACAGACAGATTTCATCAGGTTCTCAGGGTTGGGACCTAGGCTTCTAAAACGCAGTTCTACAAGACTTCAGAGTTGGTTTTAGGCCATTTGGGAGAGGTGGGAGGGAGATCCTTTCCATCCATGATATTAGGATGCCGAGTGGCTGACCCGTATACAGCTGATTCTGGAAGACTGTTTAAGCTGGTGCTCCGGGCTCACCTGGGAATCCAGTTAACATGCAGATTCCGATGCCCTGGGTCTGGGATGAGGCCTGTGATTCTGCGAGTCTCATAAGCTCCCAGGAGACACCAGGGCTGCCAGTGCCCAAAGCCTACTTTAAGCAAAACCTTGCTTTACGGGAATGTTGATAATACTTATATTTTCTTTTCAAATTGTTGAAAACATCCCTCCCTATAGTTTCTGTATATGTATATGTTTTTTATTGAAGTATAGCCAGTTTACAATGTTGTGTCAGTTTCTGATTTACAGCATAATGCTTCAGTCGTACAGGAACATACATATATTCATTTTCATATTCTTTTTCACCATAAGTTACTATAAGATATTGAATTTGGTTCCCTGTATTATACAGTAGAAACTTGTTGTTTATTTTATATATAGTACTTAGTATCTGCAAATCTCTAACTCCCAATTTATCCCTGCCCTCCCCTTCCCGCCAGTAACCCTAAGTTTGTTTTGTGTGTCTGTGAGCCTGTTTCTGTTTTATAAATAAGTTCGTCTTTTTTTTTTCAGATTCCACATATAAGTGATATATGGTATTTTTCTTTCTCTTTCTTGCTTACTTCACTTAGAATGACGATCTCCAGGTCCATCCATGTTGCCGCAAATGGCATTATTTCATTCTTTTTTATGGCTGAGTAGTATTCCACTGTATAAGTATAGGAAAATTTCTTTATCCAGTCATCTCTTGATGGACATTTAGGTTGTCTCCATGTCTTGGCTATTGTAAATAGTGCTGCTGTGAACACCCTCCCTATAGTTTTGATATGCAGTTATTTCTCTTAAATCCTTCTGTGGAAGGGGGAGATGTTAAGATGACAGGCAGTTTGTTAACAGTCTGCTTCCAAGGACGGTAGCGTCACAGAGGTTACACATTAACCATGGTGTAGCGTTTGACTTAAGTGGATTCAGCTGATAAAAATCTCCCTTGATCGGAGAAATAAGGCATCACGTGCATTTCTTCTTAGAACCAGGCAGTTACTGTTGACTTATTAAAAATGTGATGAGTCACCTTTTAAGTTGTGGAAGGAAAACTGAAATTGTTTCAGGTGGAAGGAAACTTGTCCTCTGAAGTGTTTTAAAGGACCATCAAAGATTTGAATACCCAAAGGCAGCCAAGTAAAAACTGCAAACCTGAGTGGACTTGGCCCCTAAGAGGTTTCTGCTGTGGGTTCAGTCTAGAGTTGGTGGCACCCTGTTTCATTCCTGAGGTATCACTTAAAGTGGGATGGCCAGCCAGGGTCAGGTTGTCACACGGGATAGGCAGCCTCCTCCATGCATGTCCTGGGAACAAGTTCATGTCTTTGGCGGGTTGGCCCCTTTGAGTATTGATGGAACCTTAAACTAGGTACAGAGGCCCAGCATTTCCCAGTGTGCATGGTACTCAGAAGGATGAAGCATGTTCAGAGATTTTTTTACTCATCTGTATGTGTTTTAAACTCTATAAAAGTGGGCGGTTTGTGATGATCCCCTTGGGGTAGGTGCCTAAGTGCAATAGCTGTTTTTAAAAATTACAGTGATTCACATCATCTGTAAATACTTCAGACCTGCTTTCTTAGCAGCTGGCATAACTAACCTAGCCTTTCAGAGAAAGTCGAGTAGAAAAGAAATTTTCCTTTTAAGATGGGCGGGTTGGAGCCCTGTCCTGTAAATGCGGGTGTAATGAATGATAAGCAGATCTCAAGAGAAAGGTCCTTTATGGAGCTTTCCATAGGTAGACTGTGAATAGTCTACCTTTGTAAATAAGACTAGGTCACTGTTAGCCTTGGGAGATTAATGGGTCTTCACAGTCCTGCTGTGATTCAGAGGGGTGGTGATAGAAGTGACTAGGATGGAAATATTTGAAATGGGACTTTCTGGATTTTGTTCATAGGTCACAGTGGGTATGAGGAGGGCCACTAATAGGATATTTTTCCTGAGACATGTAGCTCATTGTGGTTAATTTCTAAATTGCTAAGCTAATTCTAGTCTTCTCTGTTCATAACATGGTGTTGCAGCTGGCTCCCAGACCTGATTGTGTATTAGAACCACTTAGGGAGCTTTTATTACGTACAGATTATAATACAGCCCCACATGCAGAGATTTTGTCATTGAAGTCTGGGATCTTAGAAACTATTTTTTTAAACATTACAGCTGATTCTGAAGCAGAGCCAGGCTTGGAAATTATTTCAGTATTTTTACTAATTATCTCGAAATTATTTCTCTTTTTAAAAAAATGATGAGTACAACATGTCCAAATTACAGCCCTTATAAAATTGTAATAAATTAAATTGGAGAACAGGATGTTTAATTTCCTAGAGACTTATTAACAGCCACACTGGGATTTTTCTCTATCTTATCAGTTCATTTAAATTCAGCCTTAATATGTTGGCATAGTAATTTTCAAGTTAAAGAACATATCCCAATTAATTTTATTTTATATTAAAATGGTATAGTTGTTTATCAGTGTTTGCCAAACATAATTTTGGCAGCTCTTAACTGAACTAAAATAATGTTTCATAGGAATTTTTAAAGCATAAAATTTATAGGAAAACCATTTTTTGAGCCATTACCTTTAAAATTTTCCCTAGTTCTTAATTTAGTGATGTACCTTTGAGATTGAGTAGTAAAAACACAGGAACATTTTAGAATGAGCACGATTAACACTGGAATTAGGCTCTACTCAAGAAAGTTGTAGTTTCTCTGTGCACATTAAAAAGAAAGAAAAGTGATAGAATGTAGATGTGACTGAAAAACCCCAGAGTTAATCATTTTCCAAGATCTTTCACGTTGTAATTGCATGGTTTAAAAAAATTTCTAACGATGATTTCATGAATTTTTTACTGCATCTCTCAAGAAACACATTAGGAAATACAGTCAGTGTATATGTTTGTGTGTAACTGAAGTATAACTTAGCACTTTACTAAAAGGGATGCATACTGAGATTTTTCTATTTATATTTTTTTATATACATATAAAATACATGTATATATAAAAATAAATGCTGGTCATAGATGAAGGTGGTCAAAAGGTACAAATTTCCAGTTCTAAGTACGTCCTGGGGATGTAATATATACAGCAGAGTGACTTCAATTAATAGTACTGTATTGTACATATATTTTTTTTTGAGGGGGGAGTTCATTAGGTTTATTTATTTATTATTATTATTTTTTTAAATTAATGGAGATACTGGGGATTGAACCCATGACCTTTTGCAGGCTAAGCATGTGCTCTACCACTGAGCTATACCCTCCTCTGTATTGTATATTTGAAGGTTACCATGAGAGCAGATCGTAAAAATTCTCACAAGGAAAAAATGTGGTAACCGTGTGGGGTGATTGATGGATGTTAGCTAGACTCATTGTGGTGACTGGTCGTTTCTCCACAGTAAGTGACTGATACATGCAAATATGGAATCATTATGTTGTACACCCTAAACTAATATAATGTATACCAATTATACCTCAAAAATGCTAATCAAAAATAAAAAGGAGATGTACAAAAAAAAATGCTAATCACATCTCACCGCAGTGATTTCCTAACACTCAAGGGCTGTTATCTTATATAGCAAAGGAACTCGATACGAAGTGAACTCATAGAAACTGAGTAGAATGGTGGTTGCCAGGGGCTGGGGGTGGGGTGGGGAGAGGTGGGTCAAAGAATAAAAACTTGCAGCTATAAAGTGTATACATTCTGAGGATCCAGCGTACAACATGCTGATTATAGTTAACAGTATTGTATACTTGACAGCTGCTAAGAGAGTAAATCTTAAATGGTCTCACCACAAAAAGAAATGGTAATTATGTGAGTTGATAGAGGTGTTAACTAACCCTCCTGTGGTAATCATCGCACAATATATAAGTATATCAAGTCAACATGTTGTATACCTTAAACTTACACAGTATTATAGGTTAATTGTATCTCAAAAGGCTGGGGGCAAAGAACAAGTAGCTAGTATGATTTTAAAGTGGTGTGACAGCGCCACCTGGTGGATTTAGCCCTCAAGTTACACGTTGGTCAGATTGTTCTGAATAAAAAGTAAACTGGTGCTTTCTTTAAAAAACATGAAAATGACATTTTATATGGCTCTACATTTATGCTTAAAGAAATAAGAATCTGAAATGAGTTGCATTGGAAGTATGATAGTGTTTTTATATTTTTTTTACTGAAGTATAGTCAGTTTACAATGCTGTATTAAGAAGTATGATACTGTTCATCTTTTATTTCAAAATCTTGAATTATTGTTTGTTCCTTACTGGGAATAAAATGAAACTATCTCTTCAAACTGTCTTTCCTCATAAAGTCTACCTTTTAACTGTCTTCATATTTGATATTCTACCTTTAGGACAGGGTAACCTTCAGGAGAATAATTGTAAAAAATAATGCCAAAAAGAGAAAAATGTATGAAAGCTTTATCGAGTCACTGCCATTCCTTAAATCTTTGGAAGTAAGTATGTTTGTGCTTTTATTTTATTTTGCTTTAATCGCTCCTGTTTTGTTAGGAATAGTTAGTTCTAAGGATAATAATCTATCCATATTTTAGTTAATAGTTCTTTGAATAATAATCTATCCGTATTTTCATTTGAAAAGATCCAAGAGTGTTCAGGTAGCTCAGTATTTCTTTTATTGCCTATAACTGCATTTGTTTTATTGTTTATACCTAATAGACACCTATGAGCATCTATAACATATTTATAGGTGGTCTGTATCTAAAAGCAAACTTCAAATAGTCATGTAAATGTAGGCTGCGACCACTAGTAATACCTTACAGGAACAGGTTATCTAAGTACAGGACATCTTCACTGGCCTCCCCTCCTCCGTCATCTTTGCTGTTTAATCCTCTTCTTGTTTCTGCTTAAAATTGGCATTCCAGAGTCTCTTGTTCTTTGTTCGGGCTACACTTATTCACTTGGTGACCTTGTCAAATCTCCTGGCTCTAAGTATCTATTATTTTGATGCCTCTTAAAATTGACAAAACTGGGGAGGGCCCTGCCCTGAATGCCAGGCTCATTTATCTAACTGCAGATTTAACATCTTGAGACTCTGGGTTGTCTCATAGATTCTGTCTCATACCAAAGACACGTCCCAAATCTCCCCCTTTCCCTTCCCCTTCTTAGCAGTAGCAATGCCATCCTTCCAGCATCCTGGCCAGAAACTTTGGGGTTGACTGACTCATCTGCTGACACATGTCTTGGTTGGCTTGTCAGTGTACGCCTAGTAGAAATTCGGGCCACGTTTCAGAATGCATATTGGACGGCCGATCTTTTCCAGCAGCAGATCTCTTTAAATAAAAATAGATCTGAGGCTGGAAATTCAAATGCCTTCAGAGCTAGGCAAGTAACAAAGATGAAAACCACACCAGGAGGGGACTTTGGTAAATTGGAAAACGTGCACTCCATCCAAAGAAACAGCTGCTGGTCCACCAGAGCTTATTTTTGCCACGTGGAAATTTAGCTAAGTATTGCTGAGTGCCCTGAATTTTCAAGAGAAGCTGGAAATTCAAGTTTTTATGTAAAAATTTTTGTTTATTTTAAAATGCAGGCAGTTACTATAGCAGATACGTACACAAACCCACACACCACTCAGTTTATTTGGCCTGTAGGTTACCATTTTTAAACCCCTGAAATAGTTAGGATTATCTGATTAGATTAGTCTGTTTGTTTAATATAGTTGTCCCTTGGTATCCGCAGGATTGGTTCCAGGACTAGGTGACACCAAAATCCACGGGTGCTCAAGTTCCTTACCTTTCGCATCCCTGGGTTCCATGTCCGTGGATACAGAGGGCCAACTGTATATTGGAAAAACCTGCATATAAGTGGACCTGCACAGTTCAAATCCGTGTTGTTCAGGGGTCAACTGTATTACCTTTTTTCCTTTGTAGGTTTCTGAACGCCTGAAAGTGGTAGATGTAATAGGCACCAAAGTATACAACGATGGAGAACAAATCATTGCTCAGGTATAATACTGTTTATTCAGTTTGGGGTTTTCTAAAGGGCTCTTATATATTGTAGGTCTTAATACATCTTTCATATTTGTCTATAATTAGCATGTAGTGATGGATTAAATGAGTATGATTTGTATCAAATGACTTGTAAAAAGTGGTTTAATTTACAGCCATTGATCTGTTTGAATATTTTCATAATTCACTCTTAGTGAATATGTATTAAGTCATCAAATGCATTTCTGTATAATTTTATATCTGTACGTGACATGAAAGTCAAATGTATATAAAGAGTAAGATTCATTTGTAAGAGGGGAAGAAACAGTGATCACTCCAGAAGATTTATTAGTAAGTACTCAGGAGGTAACTCTGGAAGATGTGGAGTTTTGCATAATCAGTTCATTGGTGAAGCCTCCTGAGGCTGCTCCCTGATAAGATGAACCAAGAAGGGAACACACCGCACCACATACTCGGCTGGCGCCCAGGCGCTAAATGGGGCGACATTGCTGTTTAATCGCTGCTGGTTTTCTAAGATCCCAGTTGGAACCAGCAGTCGGACACACGTGCCTCGGTTAGCTACACCTACCAAGGAGTGGGATTTATGAAGACAGCTGAAGTTTACAGATAAAGCATACTCATGCTAATACCTTATTTCCTAGTTTTTGAAGCACTGAGTGAATGATTTAAACAGACTGTTAAATTCAGTAATTTTTATATCACATTATACTGTATCGTAACCTTTATCTAAAATATCATCTCTTCTTTTGATACATATGAAACTAGATTCAAGGTCTGAGGAAAGAATAGTTGTTTTGGAAGGCAAATAAACAATAGGTTCCCCCCCCCCACCGCCCCCCTCAACAGACTCGCGCAGTCAGGGACTGGGAAGACGTGGAGGCAAAACAGAGAACAAGGCTAAGGTTCTACTACATAAATTTAAAAACTGCGACATATACAGTACTTTTGAAATGATTTTTTCAAATTATTTTGAAATAATTACAGACTCACAGGAAGTTGCAAAAGTGGTACAGAGACGGCCAGTGCGCTCACTCCTCACCCAGTTTCTCCCTGTTCATTTTGCATCACTAGTTCAGTGTCAAAACTAGGAAACTGACATTGGCACAACCTGCAGAACTAATTTCACTAGTTTTACGTGCACTTTAAAAAAAATTCTGGTGGGGGAGGTGATGAGATTTCGTTATTTATTTTAATAATTGAACCCAGGACCTCGTGCATGCCAAGCAACACACTTTACCACTGAGCTATGTCCTGCCCGCCTTACATGTACTTTGAGCACATTTTGAAAACAAAATTACACAGCAGTTGATAACCTATTATGATGTAAGACACTTGAAAATTTAACGTGAAGCTCTTATGAAAACCTGACATAAGGTAAGGGAAAGGAGATGTATATACTATTCTTAGGCTTTATTTTAAGGTAGTTTTAGATATGAATTGTCTTTGAAGTATTTATAAACATACATGTCTGTATTATAGTATAATCTAGACTCCCCATTTATTTTTGTGATGGAATCTGATACTGTCTTTCTTGAATTGTACGGAGGGGTTCTGAAATACCTGGGTTTCTCCAGATCACTGTGAGAGGCTCAGAAAATTCAGTATCTGTTGTCTCTAGTATAATGCTGTTTAATTTCAGAAGGCAGGCATCCTTGGAAGCCAAGGCAGAGTCTATTCAAAAATAAAAAACAACAGAATACGGCTATGTAGTTAGAAATGGCAGGACTTTCTTTTAGAAGGCTTCTCGGGGCCTGGAGGTGGCTGGTCCGTAAGCTGGCATCCAGGGTCAGGTCCCCAGCCAACTGCAGCACAAATGTCTGGACCCAGATGTACTGCCTCCTGAGTAAAGTTTGCTTGCTTCTCTTTGGGAGTCCCTGGATAATCTTGGGTCGCCGTGCTATGCTGTTAGGACGATACAGGGAACACGTTTAAAACTTCTTCAGGAGCACGGGAGCCGCTGACAGAGGACATGCTGATGGAAAACAGTGCTACCGTTTCTAACTCTGTGCTTTATCCAGGCTGCTGTTGGGGTGGAGTGTTATTTGCCATATTTTCTTGCCTAGTTTTAGCAGAAGTGCTATGGAGGAGAGCCTATCATTTCAAATCATTTCACAGGTGAAGCCATGACGATAGAATTGTCGATCATAACCTCTCAGTTGAGAAAGAGAGATGACCTGTTCCCATGGTGTTTCACCTTTCAGGCAAATCTTCTGTGCCCTGGGGTTGGATTGATTTTAGAGGTATGTCAGGCAGCAGGACAGCTGTCGACTAAATTTGCATTTTCACCCTCTGTTTTTGTTTCATTCTGATAGGGAGATTTGGCTGATTCTTTTTTCATTGTAGAATCTGGAGAAGTGAAGATTACCATGAAAAGAAAGGTAAGCATTCATGAGTCCTAAAAATCCAGGGAACATTAGCAGGAACCCTAACAGATTTTTCATTTTTGATGTTTAGACTAAGGTTAACTTATTTTTCTTAAGCTGCTTTTATTTTTCAATGACCTTGTCAGGGTAAATCAGAAGTGGAGGAGAATGGTGCAGTCGAAATCGCTCGGTGTTCCCGGGGACAGTACTTTGGAGAACTTGCTCTGGTAACTAACAAACCGCGGGCCGCGTCCGCACACGCCATCGGGACCGTCAAGTGTTTAGGTAGGACTCACAGCCGTGGGTGTGCGTCCCTTGGTGGAAGTTGTTCTGTCCGCACTGTACGTGTTGCACAGATTCTTTTACTGGGTTCACAAGTTTTGTGGGCCCCACAACTTACAATAAGATTAGGATTAACTGCATGATAAAATCAATTTGTAGAAGCCACTTTTTTTCCTTTAAAAAAATTTCACACACAGTATATGTTGTGTTTTTTATAGGCTGAAATAACATCTTATTTTAGCATGTTGTTAAAATAAGAATTCTGAGTACCGAGTTTTTCTTTCTAATCTTTCAGATGAACAGTGTGCACTATATTCCTCAAAAAAAGAAGGCTAAGACAGTATTTTGATAACGTATGCTCCACCCTGCGGAGTCTGCTCTGCATTCGGGTGCCTGTGGGGAGACTTACTTTTCCTAGTACTGGAAGCAAAGGTTCACGTTTGTCAAAGCACAATAGAATCTTGTCGTTCGACTGTTTATTACAGCCGTGGACCACATCACAGCTTGGCAGAGATGCCATCCTCAACTGGAAGACATCTACATGTAGCTGAGGTTTTATATATGAGAAATAACTTACCTTACTCATGAAAAATGTAATTCAGGAGCTATCAATTTTGATGGCATTTTCTTTAAGAAAACGGATTCAGAAGTAATTAGCCACCCTTTGCTCTTCATCCACAGTTAGCAGAATAAATTTAGCTTCAGTGTTCTTAAGATTTGCAAGAATCCTCGGAATTTTCTTAAGAGAAGTCACTTTTTGAAAGGTTTTAAATAATGTTAATCAAGTGTTATACTTGGATGACAAAGAAGACAATTAGAAGCTGACAGGTAATTTCCCTGAGTTTGTGGTATTACTTTAGATAGTAAGAGTAAAAGTGAGCTGAGTGAACTCCCATTAATTTCTTTCTATAATAAATTCACATGAAATTTGAGAAATACAGAAAAGGTAGGAAAAAGTACCACCACAGCCCAGTGATTTCCACATCCTGTTATATATAATTCTTTCTCATCTTGGTTTTTTTTTAATTTGTATGGGTTTTCTGCTTTTATTTAAACTTTTATTTTTTTTTAATTTTTTTTTATTTTGAGGGGAGGAGGTAATTAGGTTCATTTTTATTTCTAGAGGAGGTACTGGGGGTTGAACCCAGGACCTCGTGCATGCTAAGTGTGTGCTCTACCACTTGAGCTATATACTCTCTCCCCGTGTTTTCTGTTTTTAAACAGTTTTGTAAACTGCTTTTTTCATTCATTATAGCTTAGGCACTTTTTTTCCAATTTATTACATCAAATTGTAACATCCTATATAGGTAAATAAACACATACATTATTTAATCACTCTCCACTATTAAATATTTTGGGAGTTTCGCTTCCATCTTTTTTGAGGGGATGGCTTTTGTGTCTGGGTGCATAGACTACCTTTCCATATATAGGGTTTTTCCTGAGAAATGGTTTTTCGAAGTGAGTTTTCTTTTTGTGGCTTTGACACATACTGCAGATCACTTTTATTTGTACTTATTTACATGCTACCAGCACTGGAAGAATATCCATTGTCTCTCTTGTAAACACTGCCTTTTCCCTCTTGCATGTTTGAAAGACAGAAAGAAAGAATTTTAATTTGTATTTCTATGGTAGAGAGTATGATCATATTTTCATGTGTGTATCATAAATTCTGTCTCAAAAACTGCTTTAGCCAGGCAAGCTAAGCAAGGTAGAGCACGTACTTACAGAAGTGGACAAAATCATTCTTTGGGCTGCCATTTAGAATTGACTAGACAGTAGGATAAAAGAATAAAAATGATAAAAGGTAACATTTGGTCTTCACAACATGGCATTGTAAACCCCAAGAAGGGAAAACAAGACAGAAAACACACCCTTGCCGCCTTTGAGGGTTCTGGTTACTAAGGTGGTGACATCAAAACTAACTTATTTAAAAAAATGCCATGGCCTTGCCAGAACAGTCCCTCATCCTTTTAAACCTGAACCAGGAACCTCCCACCAACCTAGAACTGCTTGTCATGCTGCCCGGGGACACTGGCAGCTTCCTTTGTGAAGTGGGATGTTTTTCTCTTTATGCCTTTTTCTTGTATTTGATATTTATCTAAAGATGCCATTGCATTTGTTGATGTATGCAGAATAGGTACCATAAATGACAGAAATTGTACAGATTTGCAAAGAATGTCGTTTTTTTCTTTCGTTCTCCCCTTTTCCTAGCCATGGATGTGCAAGCATTTGAGAGGCTTTTGGGACCTTGCATGGAAATTATGAAAAGGAACATCGCTACCTATGAGGAACAGTTGGTTGCCCTGTTTGGAACAAACATGGATATTGTTGAACCCACTGCATGAAGCAAACGTGTGGAGCAAGAAGACCTGTAGTGACAAAATTACACCGTAGTGGTTAGTCCACTGAGAGCCTGTCTGTGTACATGCCAAGCATTTTCTGTGATTTCAGGTTTTTTCTTTTTTTTTTTTAACATTTACAATGTATCAGTAAACAGAGTAGTGATTTAATAGTCCATAGGCTTTAACATCACTTTCTAAGAGTAGATCAAAAAAAATCCACATCCAGAGACAGTGACTTTCTATCCCACAAAATTATTTGACTGAAAGGTTTATTCAGATAATTGTAACATATTGAAAGTATCTGTGTTTAAGAAGTTCATTAAAGGATGTTGTCATAGGCGGTGTGTTCATTTTGGCTTACTCGGATTGGTGTGTTAGTGACGGCGTCCGTGTAAGAGGGAACTTGCAGTGAACCATGCTGTCCAGTGTGGCATCACAGTCTTTGTACAACTCTCACTCTATATAGTAAGTACAATTCAATCGTTTTTGTTTTAGAGTTTTTCTGGCTTGATAAGTTATGTGCTGGCCTTGGCCTATTGGTGAAATGATATGAAACATCGTATGCAATTTTAAAAACCTTTTATATTTTTGCAATAAGGTACCTTCTGACTTCTTTGGCTTAATGCCAGTGACCTGCATATTCCAGTGGTTTTTAAGGACAGGCAATTCAGTCATTATGGTAGTAGGCAAGAGTCTTTTTAGTTGAGAGATTATTTTCCTCATAAATCATATATTGCTGCTTCCTTTTTTCATTTTGCAACTCGCTGTATTTGTTATCTTTAAACATTTGAGTTTGACATTGAATGTCACAAATATTTTAGAATGCTCTTTAAACTTAATTGTTGTCTTCTAAAAGCCTAAGAGCTTATTATGTATGCTGAAAAAGGAAAAAGTCTCCTATACCAAAAATATTTGGGGTCCATATCAACCTGTCCACAGGATATTTCTCGGTTCCTCACTGGGCATACGTAACACAGTCCTTTGTAGACATCTCCCATGGGCTTCCTCCAAGGTGGGAGAAATAAATTTTTTCCTAAGTAAAGACATAGATGAAAGGTATTTCTGCCCTTTCCGGATAGACCATCAGGCCTGGCCGTGCTTTCCCGTCAACTCTCAGGAGTGCACAATGAACTCAGCTGAACAGGGTTTTGTTGATAATTGATATATTTGTACTTCTGCTACATAAAATGCATTGAATTATATTTAATCAATGCAATATACTCTTCCATGATTTCTGGGCCTACATGACCCATGTCTAGAGAAATTCATTTTAACCAGTTGTTCACTTTTAAGGGAGCAATTTCATTCTGGGAAACATGTTTCGAAGAAATAGATACCCGGGTAAATATGTTCTGTGGCTAGTGTGGTCTTATAATGTTTATGGTCTTGCTTGTATAATGAAAATGTGGGTAAAATATGTTAATTGGATAACATATATATAAGAAATATGTTAAGTATACCTTCAGCCACGTCTTAGAACACTGTTTAACAATTCTGCAAACTTCCCCGTAGGAGGAGAGCTTACTACATGAAGAGGACTTGTTTTCTATTTCAGATTTTAAAAGCCATGTCTGTTAGACAAGAAGAAACACAAAAGAACCCCCAGATTCCTGGTTCATCCTTCTGTGTTCTGTATTCACTTTTTCAAGTTACCTGTTTTGTTGCATAAGCTGATTGTTAACTTACAAATGCCTGTTTAATAAAGAACTCTGACCAAGGCTGTAAATGCCAGTTAACATTATTTTCAGTATGTTGGTTATATTTAAAATTTCCTTATAATAAAGCACACTTTTATAATAAAATGTTTTTAATGAAGTTTTTTTTTCTTTCTTTTTTTGCTTGTTTCATTTGTATGACTTCCATGGTGCACATTGTACGGTGTGAAAAGCATGGATATGGCATTTGTGACAGCAGAGCCCTGGGCATCGTGTGGCTGGAAAGCATGGTTCTGTAGGGCAAGAGATTTGTTAGAATCTTAACTAGTGGTCATACATGATACGAGTTGTGGTATGTTGCAGACTAAGTTGGCCATTTACGATAACCAAGTAAATGTGGCTGACTAGGAAATGTATATTGTTTAAGTCATTAAAATACCTCAAGTTTGAGTTGTGGATGTCATTTTTTAATCACTAACCGAGGGTCCTTACTGTTTGAAAATTCTCTGTTTCATTCTAGGAAGTGTGATGAAGAATTTTGGGAGGACATTTTTCTAACACAAAGGAGCTACCTTTGTCTTCTGTGAATTTAGAGAGCAGGAGGAGAGGAAGGGAGAGAGAGAGCTGTCTATCAATATGAACTAGGGCTTGGTGCATATATTTTAACATAAACACTACCTATGACACATGTTGTGTGAATGTATTTGATTTATTGTTATACACCCTGGCCAGCAGACTATTTAAAATGCTTTTAAAAGCTACAAATGAAACATAGGGCATGAAGCAAGGAACTCTGGATTTTACTGAACTATGTAGGATTAAGTGCTGAGTCCTCTCCCTTTCTAAAGCAACTTTAAAATACTGATTTAATTTTTTTCAAGAGCTATCAGGGGAAGGGGGCTATAGTTCAATGGGAGAGTGTGTGCTTGGTGTGCACGAGGTCCCGGGTTCAATCCCTGGTGCCTCTACTAAGGGGGAGAATTGTTATATTTGTAACAAGAATTAGATGGTCCTTTGCACTCTCAAAGAAAATTAATAATATATAAGCCTGGAGTGGTAAGTAATACATCTGGATAAGCTGTATTATCCAGCTTAATTGACTGAAGAAGGGACTCTCATATCTAAATAACATGTTAATACCTAAGGGAGAAATAGAATTATAAGGAATGCTGGCTTCTAAAATAAAAGGGTGTGAGGTACACAGCCTTATGTTGAATATCAGAAAGAATTTTGCCGAGAAGAAATTGTAACAAGAGTTGAGATACCCTTACCTCTTCCAGGATGCTTTTCAAGGCAGCAAAACTGGTTGAGCAACTGAAACTTACCAGGTATCTTTCAAAAACACCTTGAAGGTATAAGAAATTGTGGAAATGTAAGCCATAAGGTAAATCAGGTATTTGCACAGGACTTGTGTGCCAACAGTAACTATGTGGGGTTAAGTCAGTTCTATTTGTATAACTGAGCAAAATTCGTGACTTCACCAAAATCATTTACTTTGTGAGTCCATGGCAGAACTCACAGGCAATTGAGATTTCTTGCTTCCTACTGCAATTCTTGGTCTCTAGTGTTGACTGGGGGGAAAAGACCAAAAAAAAAAAAATGCCCCCCCAACCTAAAAGTTACAAGTTATGTTTTATTTCAGAAACGTACTTGAGGACTAAAGCCCAGGAAAAAGCCCCCAAGGGAGCTCTGAGGAACTGTTCCCAAGAGGTAAGGAAGGAGCCAGGGAGTTTTTGCTGGAAAGGAAAAAAAAAGGTCAGAGATCAAAAGATGACTGCTAATCACAGACATCTCAAGTTACTGATGTTAGTGCTTTTCTATGTATGGGAGGATGCAAGTCTGGGCTCACTAACCTTACTCCTTTGACTTGCATCTTGACTATTTAGTGTCAGGATCCAGTTTTCCTCCATCCTGAATCTCACAGGGCACCCGCAGGGGTGGCTGCAGTGGCTGATGGCTTGATGGCCACAGTAGTCTTGTTTACTGATACGGAAAGCAACATTCTTTTGTCTGCACTCTATATTCTCCTAAAAGTGATCTGTTATTGAACCTGCTATACAGAGAAATTTGTATAAAGTTTCCAGTGCAGCTTGTAAGCCGATTTTGAGAAGCAAACTTTATTTTACGAACAGATCTGAGTTTTCCTGTCCCTTTTTATGCTCTTAAATTTGTAAATCGAAAGTTGCCTCAAATCCTGAAGAAGCGCATAACTTTTAGATGTGGGGAGATGTGATGGCGGATGATACAGAAGTAATTGTCTCCACCATAAAAATAAGGTAGGTTTTTTCTACCACCTGTTAGGTAGGTGGTTTTCCCAGATTTCAGCCACAGCCTGGGTCTTGCCATTTTCCAAAAAATAAATAAAATAAGCCACTACAAAATATATACACGTGAAATATTTCGTTAGGGTAACTGAGTTGTATTAAATGCATTTTTTACTCTCAACCGTGAATCTGAGTAGGACCCTGGGTGGCCCTACTGGGTACTAAAGCCTTAACACGTCCCCTGTTTCTTGTTTGTAGAAAAAGGTTTCAGCCTCCTAGACCTTCCCTGAGTTCCAAAGGGCAGATTCAAACAGTGAGAATTTAGGGAAGTGAGGGAATACAGAAGCAAAGGAAAAGCTGTCAAAAGGCAGTGCAGCCCTAGGGCAGAGTTCTGGTCCCTCAAGAGGGGATATACATAACAATCTGATTCAGATCTTTCCAGTTCTTCTACAGGAACTAAGGCCCTCACCCAAGTGAAGGACTGAAACTTCAGGCTGAGACCAGATTCCTGGAGCACAGCCCTGTGACCTCACCACCAACCAATCAGAAGAAAGTCACACACCCTGAGTCCTCACCCCAAATTTTGCTTTTAAAAACTTCCCAAAAACTGTCAGGGAGGTTGGGTTTTCTTTGAGCATGAGCCACCCATTCTCCTTGTTTGCTTAGCCCTGCAGTAAACCTGTGAACTAAAGTTTATATTTCATGGCAAGGCAAGAAAAATTTAAACAAAAAAATTCTCTGCCTTTTAGCTTCCTCTCCCCGATACTGTGCCTGTGTGTCTGCATCATGCATCCACCGAACCTCCCCCATTGGCAGGAATACTGCTCAGCTGTAAAGAGCAGCATCTTCCTGGCATCAACAAGACAACTCCTTAGAAAATAACGTTCCTTCTTGATCTCATAAAGGGTCACATGACCCACCAGGATGCTGCTTAGGTCTGGTCAATAACACATCATTTGATGGACAGCCCTCTGTCTCAAAAAACTTAGTAACTACCTTGATTTCTAACCAGTGGAAAAGTTCTCAGAATTTTGTGAGGTGCTCTTCCCAGGTTATCATCCTCAAATTTGGCTCAAATAAAATTTTCCATTTCTTTCTTAAATCGACTGATTGTTTCGTTGGCAAACGTTTCTCTGCTCCAGACTCTGATGTTTTGGTTGGTTTGGTTGCACTGCATCAGGCGCATGAACATGCATTCGACATTTGGAAAGACAAAATGCCTTTTTTTCCCCCTCAGATTCAAGGGAAAGGTTAAGTGTGAACTGGAAAGGGACTCTGAAATGACAAGAGCAGCCTTGACTCTTGACCGCCACAACCCAGAAGTGAGACCCTCCATGTTTTCTATTTAACATGAAAAAGCAGTTTACAAAGTAGAATCCTTGACTGAGTCTATGAGCACTAAGTATAACCAGGCAACATCTTGCATAAAGTTGATTCTAATTGCTCATTTTCCATCTCTACCCTAAAACCTACCACAATCCTGCCAAGGAACAAGACAGGAAGTCATGTATCCTTAGAAGTGCACTGCCTCTTTTAGGCTAGAGACTGACACTTCACAGAAGTGTACCTCCCTTTACACAGTAATTGTATTCTTGAATTAAATACAAATGACATTCCTGTAAAGCCAAATAATATTTTAATTATTTTAGGACTGATGCTCACTCTAAAGACATCTTTGGCAAATCTTTTTCTTGTAATTGCTCCTTCAAGCTGAACTTAAATATCCTCAGTATTTTTTATGGCTATAGAGCACATTATGATATGCTGTATAACTTCAAGAAGCTGGAATGTTAATTAGACAAATACTGTCTGCCTTTCTATGATTGGCACTGTGAGGGAATCCAAACGACTTACAAGATGGTGCTTACCTTATGTGAATAGGATGTCCTGTTCTTCAAAAAATAATAATATATAGAGCAAGGGATGTTTAAAACAGCACATGGAAGCTATTTAATGGAGTCAGTGTTCAAAACAGCATATGGCATGCAGTGTAACACACCAATACACTACATATTAATAAGAAAATTCTTGTGGCTTATTTTCTTTTATTCATCTGTTGAGCAGGTAGCTTGGACCACACAATGCATCTGATATGGACCAGACAAAAAGATGCATGAGAAATATGGAAGGAAGAGGTAATGTGAATTTGGGTGGAGGTAAATGTAAGCAAAATGTTGTGTAGCACATTTAGGCACATATTATTCCTATGATCTTAATTGCTTTTTATCAAAATTGCCTCTAAAATGAGCTACATCTGACTGGCAACTAAAAGAAAATAGAGAAAGGCTGAGGATACCAAACAGAAATGAGAGAAAATGTGTGGGAGTTTGTGTTAAATGGTTCAGATACAGAAACTATCTATTCTAGAAAATTTGCAGTGAAAGACAAGAACTATCATTTGAGCAGATGAAAACCTTCATCATTCTGCCTGATTTTATAAAGCAGAAGTGGGATCAACTAGAATGATTTGTTGCCTTCTCTGATACATTTTCATTAATACCCAACTGCAGAAAAATATGAAAACAAATATATGTAAATGTATGACTGAAACACTATGCTGTACACTAGAAATTGACATATTGTAACTGACTATACTTCAATTAAAAAAAAACGCAACTGCACAACTTACAAAATCGTTTTGAAGGCAACTGAGACCACAAATGTTAGTCCCCTCCATGTCATGAGGACAGCCACATTTACTTCCCTAGATCTGGGTCTCCTAAACACCAAATACATTCAGCTGCTTACAGGAACTCTGGCCACATATTTCTTGCCTTCACAGCGACTCACTATCTAAAGTTGAACCCATTCTTTCCCCATCTCCCAGGGCCCAAGTCTGTTCTCTCCAACATTGCCTACCTCTGTCAGTAGCATCAACAGACC